CACACTGCCTTGTCCCATTTGGGAACACTCTGGAGTTCTGAACATTCCCAGCATCCTCTGGTGCTCCTCTCTCCCCTTTGTTACCTTCTTCTCTAGTTCTGTCGGTGCAGCTAAACGTTGACCGCTGCTGCAGCTTTCGCAACACAATACCCTCACCTTTTTATTTATATATATATTTTTATAGGTAATTTAATATGAAGAGACTTGACCTTACCTTAGCTACCAGCAGGACATACATTCCATGTCAGTTTCAGAGTTGTGCGATCACGCTTTTAGATTTGTTGACTTGAGAATCATGCATGCATGTACCCTTAAAATGTTGAACAAAAAAAACAACCGTATGCCTTGTTTGTAAATATTTCTTTTCTCCCAGTATCAGCCTAATGCTGGTTTTGTATTGCATATATGCTGTTTTATGAGTGTTTTAAAGTCACCCATGCTGCAGTACCGTTGGTGTTCTAGAGACGGCTCGCATACTGGATCAGAAGTGTGTTTTCTTCCCAGAATGCCCTGACGATTTTAGCCAAGCAGGTAGAAAAACACTGGAAGTCCGATAGAGCAAACATGGAATCTTTTCTACGTTCAAAACTCAAAAGGACCTCTCTGATTGGCTAGACCTGTAAAGACACAGCATTATTAAACAGCCCGGGAGTGGCCACCTTGGAGAAATATGTACAGAACACTGAGTGCACAAAATGGCTTACCATAAACACACCCTGTGCCTTTAAGAACAAAATGTCTCAATGAAATCCTCATTTTTTTTTACTAGCGTGTGTATCTTTTTAAACTGAGCCTTGATATCGAGTTGAGTCAGAATCTAAGTGTTGTTCTATTTCTATTTATACACTTTTGTAGCATTAAACAAGCAGCTTTCCCATGAAGCCACATCTCATCACGTTCAGGAGGGTCGGGGGACATTTGAGAACAGAATTGAACTAAAAGACATTGAAGAAAGTTTTCTATTACTATACATACTATGATTTTAGAGCCAAGAGAACGGCTTCCTCAGGATTCATTCATGGTAAGTTGATTTAGTTTTCTCCAAACCTCTATGAACGGAGGTTTGACTATGCAGGAAATATACTGTACCTCTGGTCACTCCCGGGCCTTCGCTCTTCAAATTGAACAAATGACTGATTCTTGAATCCCCCTGACTTCGATCCCTGTCTTCCTCCTTCAGTCTGTTTTGGAGAAGTTCAATAGAAAATGTGTCCCGCTTTTGAAAGACGAACCAAGGGCTCATTTGTAGAAAGGTACGAACTTCCAAATGCTGTAAATATAATTGTGATTCTGCTGTGTGTATTACCGTGGCATCTGATGATGGTTTAGAATGTGAAGTACCCCATGTTCTGCGTTTTTATGACCACTGACTGTCAGAGCAACACACTGTAAAGGCCTTACTAATCACCAAGCTGTCAAAGGGGCGGTTTACAAGCCAAGATATCACTGGATTTACCCTTCTTTATTTTATTTTATTTTTACACATGAAGGGTTATCTGTAAATACCATGATGCACTGGTGCTGTATATTCCCCTAAACGTATTGTATTACAGTCTAAAGCCTACAGGTTGTTGTTGTTGTTTACAGCAACAAAAAGAAAGGTTTTGAAGGCAAACGATGACTGGACATTCCCAAAAAGACATTCCACTTCATTTGACAAACTGCAGCATGATGTGTGTGATGGCGGTTCTCCATAAGGTGCATTCAGGCGTCTGGCTAAGGGACCAAATTGAACTCTTCCAGCTCTAAGGCCTCTGTCTTCAGGACCAAAACCACTAAATGAAGTAGCTGCTAGCAAGGAGTTCTTACACTCCGTACGAAAAAACTAAAACCTCAGAGGCGTAGTGCAGCCCGCCACCTTCCGATCAAATAACACGACTTCCTGTTTAATGCAACACTTCCTGTAAATCACTGAACATCTCGGTCAGGTTAGCTTTGAGGACATCTGTTTCAGTGAGCGTTTTTTGTTATCATTACAGTATTGGTTATTTCACGCCTGATTGATCAAGAGTATCAAGTTTATCAACATTTTGAATAAAGTCTAAATCAAGACTAATGAAAGGTCTTTGTTTTTATTCTGACGGAGAATTACTAGAATTATTTAACGCTGTTTTCTTCTTAAATCTGACATGTTTAGGTTCACACTACAATGTTTACATGCTTTAATGTTCATACATTTTTCATACTGATTTTTAGAATCACAGCTTGTCTCGTGACAGTTGGTAGGCTTTACAAATGTACGTTCATAAGCAATGAAAATGTGTTATTTGTTATTTATTACTTTAAAGCTCATTAACCAATGAGCTTGGGGCTGAGTGGCACAATTACTGTAGGGAAGGCAAAGTATTAAGCAACAGTATAAATACTTTGTTTACTTTGGTTTCATGGGATAAATAATATGGGAAGAATAACAACAGCCTTATCATTATAGTTTCAAACAACTGAAGAAGGACAGCTGAAACCCAATGAGACAGAATGACCAGTGTAAACAGTTTCTTTGGCTTTATTTGTAACATGACATAAAAAAAAACAGGTTACATTTTCAAAGTATTGCATTTGAATAGTGTCATGGCTTCAAGGTAATGCTACAGTGATCATTTTGCACAATATTTTTCCAACCCTTTCACGCATAGAGGTCACTGCAGTGGACAGCTTTTCAAAAGTTGTTTTCTTGTATATGCATGGGTTTTGATGGCATAGTCGCACCATCAGCCACTACATAGGACCCTATTGCATCATCCCATACACTGCTACTCAGTGGAAAGTCAGTGCAAGAAGTGCATGATAAATGTCTCTAAACCAAGATGGACGACAGAAAGCCAGATGGACCAAGTCACCTGCCGATATCCTGCCAATCCTTTCGGAAAGCGCTCCCTTCAGGTATAAAACATTTGGTGACATCAAGTAACAACTAAGGAATCATATAATTCATAAATTGTCAAAGTATTGATTTTATGTTTGCAGGAAATCATGATTATTCACCTGTCACTAAAGTGGACATCATGCATCACTGGCTATATTTCAACTAAAATTCATACTGTTACTGTTCTTCTTGAAAATACTTCATTTGCAATATCTTTTTGGGCCTTAAATATATATACTTAAGTTATTATAATGTAATTTTAAGTTTGCACATCTTTATTTATCATTTTTTCCAAATTTACAAGTCTTCAGTTTAGACTTTAACTAATACTGTCCACCTGAGTGAACATATAAAACATTTTTTTTCTAAATTTGAAAAAACTAGATTAAAAAAACTAAAGTTAAAAATCTTGTTTTTAATGCCCCAAGAGCAATAAAAACACCTGAGTGAGGCTCTCATAATTCATGCATGAAAGGGTTAAAGAAATGTTAAGATGGCTAGATTGATTTCCATGTGTGAATTACATACAAAACCAACAAGTACACTGTGTGGTCACTTGTGAAAACTACATATTTCCTATAACTGAATACATGGAACTGTAATGTAACCAATATGTTCTCACAACACGAAACTGCTACATATTAGTTTTCACCTTTAACTCACGGGTGTCCTGACGTCAAGTGTGTCCTTATTGAAATATAAACTGTGCTACATCAAAAATAAAACAAGATAAAAACTAAATAATCCTAACTAAGGGTCCACTTAGCGTGATGTCACTCATTTGCAGTGAAAAGCTGGTGAGTATAATTTATTAGAATATTTCGTCACACTATTATTTCTAATTCATTTCCACAAACAACATTTATTTAAAGCAGAACGATGGATCCTGGAGGCTGAAATCATTCAAGTCCTATGCACTTCAACATGCCGGATCAATAATGCTTTCAGGAATAGAGCCCATCTTTTATTGGCAGGTATTTATGGCAGCAGCGTTGGAGGTAGTGATGGATGATTGAAGCTGAACTGATGGATGAAAAGTCATTCAGTGTCACGTTGGTAGTCTACAGCAAAGAGAAGAAAGAACAGAGAGCAGTGAGACAGAAACTAAAGTAATACCTGTCCAGGTAACATTGTCTGCGCTCTACACATCCATTACCCAGATCTAAAAATAGCGCAGGGTGTGGTGAGCGCAGGTAATTATAGTGATTGTGGAGAAACTCTTATGTTTCTCCTCACAGGAGTTTCATGTCCGCTCTCTGTCTCGCTGCCTCAGGCCGTGGATACCTGACTTCTCAGTGTGTGATATTATGTTTCACTCTGCTATGACACACACACACACACACACACACACACACACACACACACACACACACACACACACACACACACACACACAGTCACACACAGCAGACACCTGTAGGCTATCCAGCGGAGGAAAGTAACTATGTACTCAAGTATTTATATTG